TTTTTTTTAATACTTCATTTAGATCAAAGCCATTTATGAAAATATTTCATAAATGGCATGGCAATGTTAGCTCTTTGTTTTACAAGTCGACAGTGTAGATGATGATTTAAAAATGAACATACACGGTTATGTTCTTCCCAATTACTATAAATTCGTCTTTGTTTATTAGTACAATTACGTAAAATTTAACGTTGTTTTGCGAAACGACAGCGAAACATCTTCTATTTAATCTGCACCGTTGTTTATCCTACATCCAGAGTTTACGCTCTCAAGATACGTTTCCTGTTATAATGCATACGACAAGCAACGTGCATTTAGCGGCTTTTAACAGATTTAACTAGCAGCGTGTGAAATAGTAACTCTAGATGAAGAATTAATAAACAGGATTTATGAAAATCTAACGCGAAAAATATTTTTTAAATATTTCATTTATTTAGAATAAAGATGTTGTTTTTGTGAATTGTATAGCACTCAGCTATGTTATAAATCGACAGTAGAATATAACGCCACAAATGCCTAGAGATGTATCGTTATGTTCTTCCCAGTTACATCTAAATTTACATATCTGTGGTGTTTATTAGCACAATTATATCGTAAAATTTGACACTATTCCGCAAAGTGCCAGCGAAACATCTTCTATTTAATCTGCATTATTGTTCATCCAGAGTTCACGTTGACGCTTTCAAGATACATTTTCTCTAGTACATAAGTTAAGCAGCGTGCATTTCGCTACTTTTAATAGATTTAACTAGCAACATGTGAAGTAACAGCTCTGGATGAAGAATTAAGATAAAAGACATTAAGTGCTAAAGACGAAACTCTAAAGCAGGAAATATGCATTTCTCTGTGTATGAATATTTCATTTATTTAGAACAAAGATGTTATTTTCATAAATGATGTAGCACTTGGCAGACTCTTTATGTTACAAGTCGACAGTAGAGTATGACGCCACAAATGTCTAACAGAAATGCACCGTTATGTTTTTCCTAGTTGCACCTATAAATTCGCATATCTTTGATGTTTATTAGCACAATTACATCTGTAAGATTCGACACTGTTCCGCGAAGTGACAGCGAAACATCATCTATTTAATCCGCCGTTGTTTATCCTTCATCCAGAGTTCACGCTGACGCTCTCAAGATACGTTTTCTTCGATAAATACGTTTCCGTCCCGGATTTCTCGAAACGATGCACCGCTATCGAGCGGATATTCCGTTGGCAGCCGTCGCGTGTTTTGAACCCCGCACAGTCTCGTCAGTGTTATCTGCTTTCCTTCTGCAAGAAGGCACGTAGCTTTCCGGTCGGACGGCTTTATCTGCCGCATGTACCCCCTCGCAATATCATTATTAACTGCGATTCACCATGCGATCGTCCACACGGAGTACCGTGGTGGGGGTCGTCCGGAAGATAAGGAAACGTCAGATCCGCTCTACGCTCGCAGTATTTCGCAACGCTAAACTCCATCAGTTAGCTAGTGGCGTCAGATTATTAGTGTCCCTGCGTCTATTTGTCGTGACGAATAACCCTCTATCGCGCGCATCTGTCGCGCGATGTACCGGAAAGATGTCTACACGCGTGTCACGCGCATCCGCACTCCGTGTAAATTACGCGCAAAATACTATAAATTATTTGAATTCGCATAGCCCGTATAATACTCACCGAGAGCGATAAATCATACGAGTTTAGGTCCGCGAATCCCTACCGGCGTTGAGAATTTGTTGACGATTGTCACGATCAAGCAATTAATTGTAAGAAGAATAACCCTTTAGAAATCCAATTCGATCTTTAAGAAGATGCTGAAGCTATCGACGAAACGCGCATTTAATATTTTTCTATTTATTTCGTTTTCCTTATACAAAATTAAAGAATCCTTCTTTAAAATGAAACAAAAATGCAAATAGTTGGAAAATACAAATCAATAAAAAAAAATTGTATTTAAATTTTACCACGTAGATTATTTCTTTACATATGTAAATGAATTCGAATATATATTCAAAAAAGTAGCATTTGAATAATTTATAACAATATAATGAAATCTTCAAATTATGATTTTGAAGCTTATATAAAAGAAGTGAATAGAAAAGTACAATCCAAGTGTACATAACTTAGCATTCGTGTGATATACATACAGAATATAGCCAGAGCCAAAATATACGTAATGTTTTACTTAATATTATTTAATGTATGTAATGTTTTTTTAATGCACATAATGTTTTATTTAGAATTAAGAATCTTTTTTATGGATATTGATAAGTTTGGCCGTCGCTCCAGCATCCCTTTAAGTGACTAAGTGCACTCCAAGTTTTCTTTAAAATCTTGTTCTATAGAATAGGAAAATGAAAAGCCCAAATACTCAGAAGTCTTAAAATTCATTATTTTTACATTCCTCTATTTCATAAGGATGTAACTAATGTAAATTTATATAATAATATTATAATATATTATAATATATTTATACAATTAAAAAATTAAAAAAAGATTTAGATTCTAAGCATCTCGTCCCTCAACTTGCATATCTTAAACTTTAAAGTACCTATGTCTACTTAATCTTTACAGAACAGAAAAGCCATTATAATGACGCTGAAGCAGTTATATTTTGAGGCAAAAATTAAAAATGCAATGAAATAATAAATTGTAACAATTAATCTTACTCAAGAAAAAAAGAGATATCAGTAATATGAGATATTAAAAATGGATCGTTCAAAGGTAATATGATCAATTTAATACTGAATATGACTTATTTTCAAATTAAAAACATTAAACAACAGTACTTTTAATATTCAAAATAATTAACCGATACCTTCCAGTATTAAATTTCTGCGAGGGAATATAAAACTCTCGTGAGAATATAGTATCTTCAAAATATGATCGCAGTTGAAATAACAACGAGAGTCAAAATATAAATGCATCTCTCTACTCGTAACGTCAAGTGGAAGGATACATATGTGAAAAGCGTTTATATACTATCGGCAACGGATGCAAGCGACCAAAGGCCGTTCGAGAAATGCTACACACGAGACGATGGACTCCGTTTTCCCTTGTCGGAAGAGAATTCGTTTGAGTTGCACGAGACTTCCGTGATCATTCGTCTCGCGTCTCGTCTCTCCCGTTATCTTTCCAGCCTCCGCATCTCCATCTTTCTTTTGCCCGTCGCTGTCCCGAACGTACGCCATCCTACCCATATCGTCATGTGATTAGTATAATAATATTAACGTCGGAAGAGGACCGACAGTGGCGAGAATCGGGGATGCCAATAGCGTTACACTAGAACTTAGGACCGGAACTGAAATTCAATATTTACGCCAGTGCGCGGTAACTCACTGCTAATTAGACCGCCGAGTAATTGGTAACGCTAGCTCTCTCAAAGCCTCTACGAGAGAGCGCAGTGAAATTCGGGCCGAATGCTGTACTCTCTTGCAACTAGCTGCACTGCGTGCTGCGTATCTCTTCCCCGATATTGATGTTCGATTACTCAACAACACACATCGAATGCTCGACCGATTCGAGGAGTTTAACATTCGCCGTGAACATTTAACTCGACGCTGAGCATTTACACGTAAATTAGATAAGCACGTTCGAATTAGATCACTTCGTCTGGTGCAAGCAAAGTTTCAAAACCGACGTGATTTTGAAAATGCAACAAATTGAAAATTTCCTAAATATTCAAATTAATACTTATCTTAACTTTAGCACCGTAGTACTTTTTCTTCGATCAATTTTCTAACATGCTAAACTTTTGTGTATTTATTTTCTGTTATATACATATATTATAAAGAAATGCAAGGCTCCATGTGAATGTGTGTTATGTAATCAGTGAGTCCTAAGTTCAATCCTGACCGTCACTCTATACATATCTCATTTTGTAAGAGATCGAAGAATTACGATTAAAAATACAGATCTTAAGGCTGTGTTAAGTTCAAGGATGTGAAGAAAGATACAAAATCTATATCTATATCATAGCAAAAATAGACATGTCTATTTCCGAATCTATTAGGCCTAAGAATCTGAAAGAAGGTAGATCCTGGAGTCACATTAAGCCTGGAATCCGAAAGAGGGAGAGGTTGAGCAGTCTCATAAAGCTCGTTAAACTATGGACTGATAATCTGAATCACAGAAGGTCTAGGAATCACAGAAGAACTTTTGAAATCTGGATGATGTTTAAGGACTGATATATAATCCTATTTGCTTCCACTATTATTACTATTATTACCATTATAAATAAATATAAAAGAGGCTATACTTATGTCATATATAATTATAACAATCAAATTCTCTCTTAATTAAATTAATCTCAAAGACGTCAAGATTTTTTTATTTCTTTACTCAAAATACCATGTTTTTAATGACGCAAAATAATTAAGTAAATGATATAAATAAAAGTATTGATATTTTACAAAATAACGTAATCAGAAAAGTAACGTAATTCCTCTTATCAGTAAAAAGCCTCAAATAACTTTCTTTCACGATAAAATAACTGTTCCGCGTGGAAATAAAATCCAAACCTTTTAACGTAAAGAGTTAATGAAACATTTATCGCACCGATAATCCTAAAGCATTGTGAGTAATTGAGCGTGACTGTATTACAACACTGTATACGGAGTCACGCGATATATCAAAACACGCGAAAAAATACTCGACGTACTATTAATAATGCTTCATTCAAGATCCACCGTGATACTTTATTGTAACTCCTAGAAGTGTATTTATGAATTGAATAAAATTTCCAATTCAAAAATGCATCAAAATTATTATTAGCTTTCTTTATTTTTTCCATCCCTTTCTTTCACTTATTTTCTCTTTCGAAAGATATTTTCAATCGATTTTGTGTACGGCGAAAATGAGATAGAATGTAAAGAGAAGTTAGTTTTTTAATTTGAAAAACTTTGTTTAATTTAAAACATTTGTTAAATTGTATTTCATGTATAGAAATCAATGTTAGGTTTCTAAATACAATTACTGGCTATTTCTACATAATAATATGATATATTTCTTTTTTTCAGTTTTGGTCAGCCTATGTTCCTTGCGGTGCCGCTCAGTTAAATGCAGTTCAACTCTCATTGGAACAGATTGACGTAATTCGTCGACTCGCCGAAATGAATGCTCAACACTTAACCCTGGTTACCTCCGTCAAAGGTAAGTACACACATTGACGATATCCTCAACGAAAAAAATATAATTTAATAACAATATTTAATACTGTTATTAAATTAATATTTAATAACTATGTTTAATGAAACAATATATTTTACTGTTATTAAATTAATAAGATTATTTTTCAGTTAGACTGCTGTTAGCTAATAAACAATTGTTGATACATTCTTTCCATATATAATTTTTTATCATATTATGTGAATAATATGCGTAACAATAATTTTTCTTCATAGATATCAGCTATTTTTCTTCCTTTTTCTAACTTTAATACAAGAAATTGCAATTCAATTTTAGACAATCTAATATTTGCGCTATTTAGTTTTTATTATCAATTTAAAGACGTGAAATTATCTCCTTTTTACATCTTTGTAAGTATTTGATAACTACGATTACGTATAATTAACCAATTAATAAATGAAAATGAGTTACGAACAAATATTATCTGATAATATACGAACAACACAAAATGTGTCAAGTAAACGCAAATGAAAAGTGAAGATCGTTGAGTTGAGTATAAGAAACGTCAACAATACCAAAGCACGTACAATGAATATGAATCTCTAAAGCATTATTGAATAAAAGAATCTCCATTGTGTCATCAGGAGCAATTCAGTTTATTTGAACTGAACCTTTTGTAATTGAAAGAATTCTCGTGACCGCCATATTATGTTATTAAATGTAACACGCTAACCGGTAGTACCAATAGATATGAAAGCGACGGTCTCAGAGAAACTTTCTCATCGGGACGATTCGAGAGGATAAAGGACCGCTATTAATTGCTCGACTTCTCCGAAGTTGAAGAGGAAAGTCGTTATTGGATTCGATTCGATGGCGTAACTTAGGTATTGTAGAAGATTTATCAGCAGTAGACAAAAGTATTATGCTATCGCCCATGCCATAATCCACGGAGGATCCTTGCTAATTCACCAAATATCAGAGACAATATTTGACTTAATAAGAATATCAAGTCAATATAAATAATTAGAAGGACTATGAATGGAAATCACTAGTTTCTCTGCTCTGGTACCGCATTATGGCTTATGTGAATTGTATCATAATCTCCACATTTTTCTTTTTAACCCTTGACTTACAAAAGTTTGACTAAATAAAGAAGAAAAATGAGATTATCACTAGTGTATCAATCACATTGATTAAATTCAACGTTCTACATTAAAAATTTCAATGGACCACATTTTTTAAGAAAGAGTGAACACAGGAAGCATTCGACATGTATCAACATTTTTAAATCTACTAGTTAACTTATATAATATTGTATTTTTGATCTGAGAATCCGACAACTTATGTAACATTATAATTTTTAATTTGTTTTAACATTGAGATGGGCGTCGAAACGTTTGTTTTTGTATTTCTTTATAGTTCTTTATTTATCATTAAATATTCTTAATTTATTTTTAACTAGCTTGTAGCCCTTCTAATTATTTATATTGATTTATTCTAAAGTGAACCATATTATTAATTTATATAAGAATATCAAAATTAAAAGAAATACCTGTTGGATCTATGATGGATCTTTACTACTTAATTCGTGTTTCGAACTGATCTGAGCTAATTCCCAAACAGAACAACAAGTCACGATATCGTCAAAGTAACGTTAAAATGAATTGTGATTGATCGAAAAATGACTTTTAATAATCACTTTAGAGCCATTTTAATGTCATGATGACTTGTATTTTGTTTAAATACCAACTAATTTATTTATCTACTATCATTTTAATGTTATGGATATTTAATTGCTTAATGTAATAATTAATTATCGTTACATTTGCATTGTACGCACATTTGGAATATTTTATAAACAAAATGGAGGAAACAGCGTAAAGTTTAAACATCATATATAGTATTTCGTATTTTTAAAAACATCGTTACAAACCATTAGATATATCAAAAGTTTATCTCAATATAGTAAAAGTTAAAAAAAAGTTAAAAAGATTACGAATGTTGAATGCAAATTTTTTTGTTTAGCAAATGTCCATTAGTGCTGATGACTGGTTGAGCCACCACTATTTTTAACGAAAACTCATTTAAGCTAAAAATTGATAGGTCAATTTATCGTCTGTTAACGAGAATTTATAGAACGTTGGTGAAATCGACTAATGGAGAATAAATTTCATCGATATGCAATAGCTACTTTTACAATATACCTATAGAGAAAAAAAGAGAAAATATGCCGAGACAACACCGATGCTAAAATAAAGAACAAACTGCCTGAAAGAAAAGAAAATACTAAGCAGGAGAGGATAGTGGGAAGGATATACGAAAGCTTGTGAAAGTTTTTGCAACAAGTAACTCACTTCGGAAACCCGACTGCCATTTTCATAAGCTCGTTGAAATCGAATCGAGGTTACGCGAGAAAGAGATAAAAACATAATATTTTACGTAAACTTTTGCAAATATTACTATATATAAATAACTAAAAAACAATTAAAAATTAATGAATGATAATTAGCGAATAGTTCGATGCAAATGCATTGTACAACGAAAGGCGTTCAATTTGATTTAGACGGTAGTTGACTTTTTATCACAAAGAAATCTTATCTTAATATAATTTTAATTTAAACTTTTGTCAAAATATCTCGCGTTAAAAACTAAATAATTTTTATAGCTGATAAGTTACAGTTGATCTTTCGATAACGAAAAATTTGATTCTTTCCCGATGAATACGCTTATGCAAACGGACAGTTGATTAGACACATATGCGAAATCAAGTTACGCATGCCGTTGAAATATGAAAAGGTTTATGAAGAGTAAGTGAAGAAATGGGACTGGCGCTGCTTCGTAATGAAAGTCTCGCAATGGAACTTACCGCGAGTAACTCGGTCCGGAAAGCTGTCAGCCATTTTCATAAGCTCGAGAAACTTCGCCAAGTGGGAAGTGGAAACGAGGTCGCGGCATAAAGAAGGTAAAAGGTGGAAAAGCCAGCAGCTCGTGCACGCAAACCTGTCCCACAACAGTGTCTGGAACAGACAAAAAACTGTGGTTTCAAAATATATCGCGTTGAATTTGACGAACCAAGAAAACATTATTAATCAACTCTAATCAATATTCACTCCGAAATTTCTGTAACTGTAAGTATTCGCGAGTCCAGTGCATTTTAAATTAATGTATCGTTGTTAAAGTTATGTAAATGACTTTTTCATTTTGAGGATCAAAATTCGAAGAATAAGATTATATAATTTAAAATTGTGTAAAATTGTGAAAAACATTTAAACAAATTTTCATAATAGTTGAAAAAAATGTCTGGATCTATGAACTTGTGAATACGATTAGGATAAAAAAAATAACTAGTGAAAAAGTATGTATATTTAACAGTGAAACAAGTATTACACGCATGAAGTTTACACAATCAATAGAAAAATCGTTGATAATAACATAAATTAATTATTTACAATAATTGTTATAATAATTAACTTATTTTATATAATTAATTATTTTGCAAATAATTTATTTTATGTAATTAGTTATTTACAATAATTAATTGTACAAAATAAATTAATTATTTACAGTAGTTGTCTTAATTTAGACCTAAATTTATTTCTTTTAATAGTTAATTATGTTTTAACATCATTTTCGTATAATATACAATTCATGAAATCTTCTTAAATATAATATTATATTATATTCCTTGAATTATCGGATAAATTTTAGATGTTAATATATTGTATAATAATGAGCTTACTATAAAATATAGTATCAATTAATATAAAAACGGGGACATTATTAAAGTAGAGGACATATTCATTTCGTTTTATTTTTTGGGAAAAGGCAAGCTGCTTCCGAGCGAGCTTCGTTCAAAGCAGCAAAGGTAGGGAACAGTTACAAGAGAAGATTACAGCTTTTTAATTTTCGAGATCAGTGGCGCGTTTCTCTGAAGAGAATATGCGGCTTTCTTGTATCAAGATAAAAGGTATTAAATCCTATTAAATGCTATAAAACGCTTTAGCTTATCGTAGTATGGCATGATAAAAGGATGAACCAAGCGAGCGCGTAAAAACTTTAGGTTAATATCAATTTATTATTGCAGTTTTTCTTTGTAATTATTCAATGTTTTTTAATTATAATCCCATATCCTCGGATTTATTTTATATAAAAATTTATAGCCATCACGATCCACAAAATTAATTAAATTTTAATTATATTGACCAGCACTAATAACAATCAATAACTTGCGCAAAGAAATAAACAAAATATCGTAAATAGTGTGGGTATAGCAATAACAAATGTGCGATGTGAGAACTTTTATTAATGAAAGAATGGAAAGCAACAGGATGATAAAAGTTTATGAATCTGATGAATCCACATCATTAATCTTGAAGTTTGAGAGAGTATCCCGTAAAGACCGTAAATTCCTAAGAGGGGATTCTTACAGAAATCATTTTGAGATAAAAATCCTAATATCAAAATATCGAAGCTATAATAATTTTTTAATGTAATAAATATTATTCATTAAAAATATCAATAATATTATCTTTGCCTACGTAATCTTTACATCGATATTAAAAAGAGGTGACAACGAGTTTCCACTTTTATAACATTTTGCGTTGTATCGCATCTGAATACGCAAATTTTTGGCAATATGATTCGCTAACTTTAAATGTTTATAATTCAAAAACCTCGATATTATAGTATTAGAATTTTATTAAAGTATTAAAATGATCTTAAGAATCTACCCTTAAGCGTTTTTACCGGACATCCTGTAGATATAAAATTTTATATACGTATATTTTTAATATTGCAACAAAGCGGATTTTAAATCCAGGATATGCAGTTAAATAAATAGCTCGTGCGAATTGACATATTCGATATAAAGTACGATAAATCAGAAGGCTTTAATAATCCACCACGCCGTCTCGGTGATCTGAAAGTTTCAATGAGACGATCGACAGCACTCCTGAAAGCACTTCCGAAAGCGGATCTGAAAGCCAATTTTTATCGATCTTTTCATTCATTCTCGCGACCCGCCTAAAGCGCGACCGACTTTCTGAGATTCTGTCCGATCTGATCTGACCCGGCGAAGGTCGTAAATAATCTATGAACACCATAATTCCACGATCCCGAGACCCCGGTTAATCTCATAAAGTGTCACTTTAATCTCGCTCAGGGAAAAAAAGAGAAAAATTATAAGACTCGCGCCGACGGAACGGGCACAACGAAAAAACAGATGAAACTTCGCTGATTCACGGAAGAAGCTGTAATTCGGCCGAGAGCAAAGTTCACCGAAGATGATTCGAAGTTCCGCGGTAAGATGAGCTTCAAATAACTCCGTGTACCTACTTGGGTGTTTCCCGAGGTTTAAATATTCTGAGTTTGGCAAGTTCATCGTGGATAGTACTACTACAGTTTTTAGTTTCATGTTTACAACGTTAAATTGCTAAAACGTGATGAAACTTTTTATAATTTTAAGAAGATAAAGAGAATATGACACATACACATCGAGAGTTTTTTTATTAAATCATGATATATCACTATGTATGTGTAGGTCTCATCGAGGCGCACAGAGAAGGCAAGATCGCAAGTCTAATCGGAGTAGAAGGTGGCCATTCCTTGGGGAATTCCTTGGGTGTTCTCAGGACGTTTTACGGTCTGGGAGCGCGATATCTTACTCTGACACATGCGTGTGACACCTCCTGGTGAGTACAAATTACGAGGGAGCGCATAAGAACCTGTCTTGAGAATAATTAATTTATCGCGATTTAGAGCTCAATAAGAAGAATAACAGGCTCATAATCAAATCGACATAATAAAGAGCATCGTAATTGAATTTAATCACGAGCAAAAATAAAAAGTAATAATAAAAAGTAATAATAAAAGTTAATATATTCTGGTAGTTTCTCATATTATACATAAATTACAGTTAATAATAGATTATGACACTTTATAAGGTTGACATTGATTAATTTAAAATAAAAGTAACAATCTTATACATGTTACATTATTCTGAATCAATTTCATTTTAAATTATAGACAGAATTAACCACTCTGTCGATTTAATCGATTTAATTAATTAAACAGTGTTTTATAAGAGATCAATTATTCGTTACTAAAATATTGATTCACCATAAAATTCACTTTAATTTTCGGTGTTATGTTTCTCGCATCAATGCACACGATTCATTGAAGTTAGAAAATTGTATTCTCTCATTCAAGATCAAGATTCTGAGGGATGTTTCATTTTTTCGCTATCGTTCTTATCACGCCTCCTCTTACCCTCGTGCTTAAGAAGTTTCTCCGTGTACGAGCCGCTCCTTCATCGAACATCCGGTTTTTTTTTTACTCAAGACTCGTTGTACTTCGTATCACGATCCACTCTTAGAGGCAAACCAATTCCACGGTTGATCGGCTTAACCGAAAGCCGAAATAATCTGAAATCTGGACGCCCGGAAGTTCTTTTTGGTAATTTCGAAAGTATCCCAAAGCCACTACTTATTTTCCAGCGCGCCTGAAAAAGAAACTTTACAGCAAAGGAGTTCTGCTTGTAGAGAGAAAGAGAGTAGAATAGCACCTCTTATCAGAAAGAATACAGAGGTCAACTTTTACAATTTAGTCTCCTTAATCAATTACTGTAAAAGACGATTCTTTAAATTGTTCTAACTTCATTTTCCAATTTTGCTGACTTTGTCTGACATTGTCCGTTTTCGAGAAAAATTTACTGCATCATTTATTCATGCCAAAGAATACATTAGGTATATTTAGCTTAGTATTTGATAAAAATTTAAAACAGTACGCTCCCATTTTTATTTATGTTTCTTTACTGCTACGAATTTATCGCTTATTTGTCACAATTTTTTAACCTAAATAATTCCACTTTTTTGCGATAATATGTTATATAAAGGATTTAAAAAATTCATTCAATATTATTAAAATTAAAAAATATAAAATTATAGAGTTTATTATTAAAAATTTTGTCTTTATTTTTATTTTAAGTTTCAGCTTATTTTTATTTTTATTTTATATATTAGTTTGTTATGATAAGCTCACTTTTTGCGAGATGAACAAATAGAATAGAACAGAAACAGAAACGCTTTTCTTCTTCCGTTTCAAACATCGATCTTTAACCTAAGGTTTATGCATCCCTTGTGATGCTGCGTGCCGTGTGGAGTTGTAAATAAAGTCCCTGCTTTTATGCGTCCGTTCGATCCGGGTCACATGAACCGCGACAAGTTGCGTTTTCACGGAAAATCCAACATTGCATTATTTGCGAGCTGCAAGTTACGCGGGGTCATAAAATAGAACTACACGCGCACGAAACAGCGACATTCGGCTCCCGTGCGACTCCACAGTCGTTTAATTACCACGAGGCCGCGATCATTTACGGACATCTTTCTCGTCGAAAGGAAATTTTAGTCTCGACCAACGAAAAATTTTCGCTCGACTTTTCTATCCTCTCAAACTTCGCGAAGCTTCCCTTTTTATTTTTTATCTTTTTTTAGCATAATATTCATAATCTAAAAACTGAAGTTTGGAACATTCTAGTTATTTTCTTTTTCATGAAACTTGAGAACGATCATTAAATTGCGACGCTGAAGTTGTCGAAATTGTCAACTGCGTGCATCGACCGCGTGTACTCATATATTACTGCCCACTATATCTTTTATGAGCGCGAAGAATCATGCTCGAACCGTAATAATCTCACTCTGTTACCTGCCACGCGAAATAGGATTTACGTCTCGAGCAGAGCGACGCTAGATGCCTCGGTAGCTTTCGAGATGTAAATTACGACGGTGACCGCCAATGTTACTAACTCTAACGCCGCTTTAAGGTCGAAGTATTATACGACAATGGGCACCGACCTGGTTCACCGTGCTCTTTCCGATGTTCGCCTGCTTTATGTCTCCCTCGACGCCGCCCGCGACGCTTACCGCAGTAAATAAGAATCGGGAGTCACGTCGAGTCCCACGACGTGCAAATCTTCTTTCAAATATAGTACATATATTGCCCTTCTGACCCCCTAAAATTACGTTGATGTCGTTTTACGATACACACGACACACAGCAAGTAATCTTTTCTCAGCATCAAGTCGAATTCCGTCTAAGAATTAAGGAAGAGAACGAGCAAATAAATGTGAAACTCAATTTCAAAAAATAATAATTGTAATGACACATTTGAAATTAAAATACTTTGTACTTTTGCCATCACGTCGCGATTCTTAGTTAAATTATTTTAAGTTAAATTATTTTTAGATTTTATTAAATTTTTATAATTAGATTTTCTAAAATTAATGCTTTGTTTTAAATTATTTATTTAACTAAATTCTATTTATCCAAATTAAATCCAAGTAATTTTTGTAAGGAATTTTGCGCCCCCATAACATGTAACGTCATAAATATATCGTAATAAAAAGAATTAGGAACAACATCTAATTTTTTATAATAAAAATTATAATAAGTAATAGGAGAATTATAAAAGAACAGATGATTTGGAACATTCAGAAAAGTGTACGTCTATGAAAGAAGCCTACCAGAGAATATCTGAGGAAAACTCGTCGTAAAAATGCGATTTCATCTCTGCGGCCTGAGATTTCCGGTATCCATGAGGAAAAGCGTGCTTTTATTGGAACAATATCCGAATTGCTTTTGGACGTGTATCCGAGGCTTAATGTCAGCCTCCGACTCTATTCTCTCTCTTTCTCTCTCATCTCTCTTGGTCTCTATCGCTCTGTCTTGCCTCTTCTCCTTGGGGACGCGAGATTGTCGAACCCGATTGAATTTTCTACAGTTCTAGATGACGATGCCGAATCATCTCCTAGCGTTTCCACGTCTGGAAGCGAGAATTGACCGTGAAGAATTATCGGATTCTCGATAGCATTCGCGCCTTCGTATTACTTGTTTTTTGATCTTGCTACTTTTATTTCTTCGATATTTGATATGATTTCATTATTCAACAGACAGAAATAACGCAAAATATATTCAGTCGACACAAATCTTAATAGCTTCTCTGGCGAATTTAAAGATGCATATTTCTTTACAAAAATTAAATTTATGCAAATGTTTAGTTATGAAAGTTATTAAATGTTAAAAGTGTAAATATTGAACAAGATATTGCAGCTCGCAATTAATTGAAAATAATATTTCTTTTAATAGATACTTAGTTATAATTACTAAGATATTTATCTACGAAAGATTATAAAATTGCGATGAATAATAATTTCTTATAAAATTCATTGAGGAAATGTCGAATTTATATTCAGAAAAAACTATACTACTTAAAAATTACTCTACTATAAAAATAATACTTAAAAATTATACAGCTTCGTAGTTATTAGTAATAACCTATTTGCGATTTCGAAACACATTTTTTATATAGATACTTCGAAACTTTTCTTTACTCAACAATTAATTTATATCTAGCAGACAGCAAGAATTAACCGTAATAAATGGATAAATGGAAACACGCGTTACTTCCGAAAAGTTTCATGGAACTCAAATGAGCTTCGAATTGCTTTAACGATTCTAAAGGTTATGTATATGATAACGAAGTGTGCAACCAGAAAGCGCGCGTGGAGTTTATGTACATTTGACCTAAATTACTTGACCCAACGCTTCTCGAATGTGCCTCCTCAAATATAAATAGAAAGGAGTCTGTTTTCAGTGTGTGTCTAAATCAAAATTAAGAATATAAAAATCTAATACAAATTTTAAGATCAATTTTTTAATGTCAAAATCACTTTCGATGAAAAAAAATTATATCACACGCATATACAAAATTAAATATGGAATTTTGTTATAAAAATTAAAAATATTAAAGTTGAAGATTGTCTTCTCAGGTTTCGGAAAAAACAAACGTAAACTACATTACAGAAACTTTATAATATACTTAATATTCTGTATAATATCAAATAAATAAATAATATTTTTAAGTATAGTAAAACCGAATAAATAATTTTTTTATTAATGATGTACACGTTTTTATGATTGACGATTTGCTGTCATTGAAAATTCATTTTATTTCACATAATAATAAATGGATCGTGATGAAATATACGCGTAATAAATACGTATAAAAGATAACATGATATTTCAGAAAATATTACTCGTTCTCGTCTGAAACTCGTCCGAGGGGACAGAAAGCAAGCGAGCACCCAGTACGACCGCTGGATTTTCACAGCGAGACTCACAAACTAACGTTCTAACAGACATTTTCTTGGCAGGGCAGTCTGTTCTGTTGGCGAGACGAACAACACTCAGGACTCCACGCCGGGCCTCAGCGAATTTGGGAAAGTGAGTCAACATTTACATTGTACGCGCTCCACTGCGGATTTACCTTTTTCAGTAGTGAACAGGGAAATATCGCGTTTGCAAAAAAAAATGCCCGCGTGTACATACATGCTTCCAAAAGAGTTTCCGTTTTATGACCGCGGACGGAGTTGCTCGACATTCTGCAGAAAAATAATACTGTAGACTTCCGGCCAAGATGCGTCCCAGTATTATTCTGCGAAACGACCGTGCGACAGTTTAGATTATAATTTCGTTATGAACTCTGCGGTATACGTTATAACGCGAATATTGCATTAAACATTTTCATTTTATTTTACGGAAATAAGATGCTTCTTCAATAAGTAGTAATATCAATATGGAATCAGAGAGAGCATTCCATGTTGTTAAAATATTTGAAGTAATTTAATGCTGTTTTTATATTTGCATGTACATTATTACAAGTTCACTCTAAAAAATATAGGTGTCGATTTAAGACTTGAGATATTTAATAACATTTATATAATTCTTATCATATATTGATGTTAATATAAATATCAACATATGGATTTAACATGATTTAAATCTCATAGTGTTATTTGCTAACAGATTTAAACGGTAAATTTTGTCCAATTTAATATTATCGTCCAAGTTTGAACGATATTACAAAAAATACTGAATAAGTGCTCGCTAAAACCTTTAGAGTGAATCTCACTCCGGAAAGTCAAATCTCACTCTTAAAGATTAAAAATTGAGCCTACTATTTTTCAAGACTGGCTCAATTTTCGCTCTTTATAGTAAAAGTTCACTTCAAACAATTTAGAGAGTATTAAATATAATTCTTACACCGTGCTGGTGTTGATGTAATCACCAATATAGTATGTGTGAATTTAATCCCATAAGTGTTAAATCCATATACCTATTGTTAACATTTATATCAACATTAAATTTAACACCATGATATTAAATGCACACTCATATTTTTTATAACATTGATATTCAAATGGAAAAAGTTTAGCATTTAAATCGCCTGTTAGTGAATATGTGAAATGCATAAATACATAAAATAATGCCTGCTAATTTTTATAATACTTCGCGCTTGTACGTTAAAATTTCCCAACGGCTTACCCTTCTGGAATATCTAAATAAACGAGACGTCACGACGGCACATTACATCAGGGACGTTCCCAATTTTCGTAGCGGGATTTAGATCGTGGCTTCACGATCTCGATGGCTGGAATTATTTTTCCACGACGTAACCGGGGAAATGATCGTCAACGAACGCGCGACTGATCGCGTCCGACCTACATTCCGTTTATCACTCCCGTCGCTCCGTCGCGTTCATAAAATTATATCCCGACCCACTTTCGCGCGCGTAGAATTCGTCGAGGGATTTCGAGCGTTAACGCATAAGTTCGCCGATCTCGACGAGGCGAATTTCTGCCATTCAGCATCGCGTAATTCTCGTCCAAAAAATCGAAGAAAAAACGAATTTTCATCGGATAGTTTCGCGTCAAGTTGAGTTTTTGTCAAAATTCATAATTCTATGGCAATGGCAGTTTTTGATTCAAAGAATAAATAAAAAAAAGGAAGCACTACTGGTAGTAGACTCGAGAAGAAATAAGGAAGAAATAAACGGACGAGAAAAACGCATAAGAACGTATATCATACTAATCACCTACCATTAACTCACATCCCTTGCAACGGCTAAATTTTATATTAATAAATGACACAGGTCTTCCAAAGAAAAATTCTATGCGCAATGTTAAATTCTGCCATTTGTCATTGACGCTTGTCTGCATAAAGTGCTAATTATAGATATTCCATCTATAAATCGACAATTAAAAGTCTGAAATAATTCGCCGTCGCCATGACGTCTTTCCAAATAACATAGTCTAGAGTTTTAATCATTTTTGTTCATTATATACGATCTAGATTTTTGTTATCTATACAAGGTGCGTCCCAAAATTTTCCCAACTTTTTCAATAGGGATAGGTCGGGTGGCGCCATCCGTGTGTTCGATTGTGCGTTTGAAAGGTACATCCCTAGCTGACTTCCAGTAAAAATTTCATGACATTTGGTTCAGTGGAAACGAAGTTATGGCGTCTCAAGTGTCAGTATGTTGTATACATCGGTACGAGAATGAACTTCGAACAAAGAGCCAATATTAAGTTTTGTTTTAAACTTGGTAAAACATTTACCGAAACCCATACGTTTAGAGAAGTCAAAAGTGAAGACAATGCTCATTTGTTTTTATGATTCCAAGGGTATTGTGCACAAAGAATTCGTTCCAGCAGGCCAAACAGTTAATGCTGTATTCTATGTAAGCGTTTTGAAGCGTTTGGTGCACCGCATTCGTCGTATTCGGCCAGAATATCGCGAAGGAGGAAGTTGGCGCTTGTTACACGATAATGCGCCATCTCACCGTTCGACACTTGTCACTGATTTTTTGACTAAAAATCACATTTTAACAATCAACCATTCCCCGTATTCGCCTGATATGGCACCTTGTGACTTCTACCTATTCGGCAAAATGCATTTGTCCATGAAAGGAAAGCGGTATGTGGACGTAGAAGACATCCAAAGGGCTTGTACCACTATTCTGAAGGACGTGCCTTTGAACGACATAAAACACTCATTTGAAATGCTTTTAGATCGTGCCAAACGTTGTATTGAGTCCGACGGGGACTACTTTGAATAAACAATTTGAATTTGAAAAAAAAAGTAAACCGTTGTTGTTTTATTTCAAAAGTTGGGAAAATTTTGGGACGCACCTTGTATTTAGTTCATATATTTTATTGCATTACATGGAAAAAGAAATTTTACTAAATTATTTAAAAATTTCACCAGATACCGATTTGAAAATAATTCTGTTGTATCATTGAAATAAACGCTCAAGTTAGTTGCTAAAGTGTAATTGTTGTAATTTTTATAAATAAAAAGGAGCATGCAGCCACGATGCTAGATGTTTTAAACGAAAGTCAATATACTTCAAATTATCATATAATAACGAAGATGTTTCGGCCAAGATTTGACATCATCAATACATAGAAATATTAAGATGTCAAAAAAAGAGTTACAAAAATAAATATCAAGATGTTACAAAAAGAAATATATAGAATTTAAACAATAATCACTAGTCAAAAAGATGGTAAGATAACTTTCCAATCGCTTACGAGTTAACGGAGTAAGGTTCAAGAAAATGACATTAAACAATATTCAATCGCTTATAAACTGTTTTCTGTTACGTATAGGATTTCCTATTACATAAAGCAAAGTGCGACTTCGTGTAACATACGGAATTTCCAGATTCTATTTAAAATTAAGAAAAAAAATAAGATTTCAGTAATATTACTTTAACAATACATTATAATTCGTGAATAGTTTTATAATAACAAACGCTTATTTTTTTACGCAAGTCCTCGCAAATGTACTTCGGAATAAATAATGTAAATTAAAAGACAGACATTGGAACCACTAGTACATTGTAATTTTAAGTTGTAATCATAAGTTGTAAGAAAAATTGACGCTAATTATTAGAAGCTATCCGGAATTTTAATGTAATTTTAATTGTAATTTTAAATATTGAAGATAATCGCTAATGAAGGTCGAAACATCTAATTCTATTATTTTAATGAGACTTGAATGCGACAAAAATTAGTTTCGCAATAAGAACTAGCATTGGCTCTTTTCCTGTATTGATTTATTCGTAAAAAAAATTCGTCTTTGTCATTTTATAAAATGTCAAACTTTTTACAGCATTATGTTTGAAAGTTCAACAATTATTTCGATGGTACAAAACTATTTTTAAATATATATCTACTCTCTGAATTAACAGATAATCACTGATATCAGTGCCAAGTATGCCACTGGTAATCAGTGAATTAAATGTGAGATTTCTAACTTAATTAATCTTTATTGTGTAATCTAACTAATCTTGTTTTAGTGCGTAAATTCAATAAATATGGTATTGGAAGATTGAAATTAACGTGCAAATATCAGTATTTTAGTTATATAATGCTCAAACATTCTTCCTTTTTCGTTGAACTTCACTGATTATCAGTGCAAAGTAATGCTACTTGATAATTAGTGATTATTCACTAATTCAGATTTAGAAAGTAGCTAAATTTTTAGTTCAACAAAATCGTTCTTTCCATCATCATCATGTATAATCGAAGGACTGACTGCAACAGTAGACTAACCCATATTTTGTAAAAACGGAGAAAATAAATTCTAAAGTTAAAGGGAAACAGTTCACATTTTTATAAAATTGGAGTATAAGTCCTCCAATTTATTCTTTACTGCAGGAAATCGACGAAAGAAAATTTAATTAATAAATATCGCCAATTCCGTTATAACGTTATTTCAGCATATATTCATTGTAACTGACTATCGAAAAACGGTAAATATGACTGAGCCATGGTTACAATAAATTATTCGGAAAAAAGAATTTCCTGTACGCGCGATATCAACTGTGTTCTATTTTGTTTGCTACGCAAACGAAAAGTCGCGTTGCCTGGCCGTGTCTCGATTGTCGCAGCACACCGTTGGCTATATTGAAACACCAACGGTACAAAAGTATTATTGCTGCTAGCGGGCGAACATTTCACCACGAAATTCCGATAATCTACAAGTCCTGGAAGTAATATCGCTCTCTTCTTGCTCCTCCCCTCCGTCTGTGATACCGAAATATTTTTATCAAAAACAATAATCTACCTTGTATACGTTAGTTTGGTTTTCTGTTCCAAGAAGAGAAATATCTCTCCAACTTTACGTTACTTACGAGACTCGGTAAACATCAACTAAAGATAACATAACATCAATGTTATAATTTCACACTCAACTAACTCTGATATGCGTAACGTACGTTACATTTATAACCGCTCGTTTTGAATATCCGACGTTAAAACGTTTCAATCAAAATGAATTTAATATCGCTCTTTTCCTTCGTCTATAATACCAAATTTTTTTTATCAGCAATAATTCATCTCGTGCGTTAGTTTGATTTTCTGTCCAAAGAAGAAAAATCTCTCCTCTTTCGCGTTAGTTTGATTTTCTGTTCAAACAAAAGAAATTTCTCCGCGTTATACGAGACCCTGTAAACACCAACTAAAAGTAACACAACATAAATGTTATGATTTCACACTCAATAATATAACTGTTACGTATAACATATATGTTATATTATATTTACAATGTTGAGTGCAAAATAAAATTATAACATTGATGTTATGTCACATTTAGTTGATGTTTACTGGAGAATCTCAACACATACAGACAAACTTTTACAGCGGCGCAGACGACTTGAAATGTTGGTAATTAAACAGAATCATAAATGAGTGACTCATTATTTCAAAATCTAAGTTTCTCGGAACCGTCTGTTTGTATATCCGGTAACCGAAACGAATTTCGCGTGTCGTTTCAAATGGAAACGTCGCAACGCCACTGCTCGTTCGGAAAGACAAATGGAATTATCTGAAAATTCCCCGCGCGTGCTCATGTCTCCCCGTACAGTTTAACCTTCCATAACGTCATGCCGCTGTAAATACCGGCATGCATTTCCGACGATGGACAGCATCATCCATCCCGCATCACGCTCTGGCAAAAAGAGTTTGAAATAAATTCGCTACCGCGTGTATGATGCGTGTGTATAGACGAATGTGCAATTCGACGAACATTTTTGCCCTGTACTCCCTTGTTCCTTCGGTCTGTTATTTCTATTGAACGACCTATATTTTCCGTTCACCAGGTGCACGAGTACGTACACAAACGCATCTTGACTCACCGTTAACGCGACGCGGTGATATATCGTGAAATTATAGCGATAGCTCGCGGCGTTGTATTTGTCACGGTTGCAACATGGCATGGGGCTTGATTTTATTGCGGCTTTTGGATGTGACGATTAGTTTCGCCTAGTCCCGCCACGCGCTCGATATTCAGCAACAGGCATCGGATTACACCACGAAAATTCGCCGTTTCGTCCATCGCGCCGCGGGATACAGACTACAAAACTGGTTTCCTCCCTTTTAATTTTCGCAAAGAATTAAAATGATCTCGAATGCGGTAGTAATTACCACAATGCTATTAATTTGCAAATTTTCGCGACAAAATCTAAATTGATCACAAAATTTCACGATTATTATCAAGCAGAAATTAGAATTTATATGCGCCAGTTACATGCTAAAAATGCATTGAAATAATATCTCTTAATTTTTATTATAATAAAATTTTTGCAATATAATTACTTGCAACATAATTCTTAATGGCTTTATTTTGAGTTTGTATATCATGCTTCTTTTCTCTTTCGTAAAATTAATTTTTGTACTAAAAACAACAAAAAAACATTTGCAATACTTGCATGCAATACTTGTATGCAATTTGTTAATAATTAAGTTTACGTATCAACCGTATTGGCCCTAAAAATTTTAGTTTTATTTGATTGATTCAGTCTTAAAGCCTAATTTTTTAATTTCATTTTATTTAATTTTTATTAATATACTACATCGCACGCAATAAAATTCACACGAAAAAAACAATTCCATTGAAGTATCTAAAACATTAGCTATATATACAGGGTGTTTCAGAATGATCGCCAAATATTTCATGCGTAGATAGATCGAACTAAATTAAATTGAAAAGTCTTGTACCATTTTGCAATTTTCGCAATAGTTAACAAGATATTAATAATTAAAAATCGCCGAATATTCATTTTTAATAATTTTTTACTCGAATACTCAATTTTACAGAAATACAGCAAAAATTGTTTATTTTCTTTTTATAGAGCTCTAAGAATTTTTTCAGAATTTTTTCAGAATTTTTTATTTGCTTTTTAGTACTGCATTTATATATATATATATAGGCAACTATTTTTACCAACATGAAAAAATACTGTACTAAAAAAATTCTGAAAGAATTCTATGAGAAGAAAATAAACAATTTTTTGTCTCTTGTTATTTTTCTGTAAAGTTAATTTGTATTTGAGTAAAAAATTATTGAAAACCAATATTCGGTGATTTTCAGTAATTAATATCTTGTTAACTATTGCAAAATGGTAGAGGACTTTTCAACTCACAATTAGTTTAGTCCGCTCTATCTGTGCACAAAATATTTGGCGGTTATTCTGAGATACCCTGTACAGATACAGATATAAAAATAATTTTGTTGGAAACTTAAACTGGCTGCTAGAATGTTAAAATTTTTTGCAGCATTGTTTATCGTATTTGAGATTCCTAATTATTTTGATAGTACAACAAAATTATTTTCAGATCTGTATCTAGCTAAATTTTTAGATACTTCAGCAAAACCGTTCTTTCCGTGTACTATTTACTCGTTCATTCTACCTGTTTGCGACTTTGTTTGCATGTTTTTACGATATTTCGCATGCGAACCACGCTTTTTCGCCTGTTTCTCGCTCTGTTAGTAATACTACTGATAAGAAATCATTCTCTATTCGCGTAATCGTCTATCTCGCTAAAACGACGCATATCAGAGACCGTCTCTCCGCAAAAACAATACGCGTCGTTTTCTATCGATGCACGAGACTCGAATCATTCGCGTGAAATCGTGTACGCCGAGAAAAGTGAGCTCTCACCCTTAATGCCGGAAAAACGAGACCATTGTGATTCGTTCTTCCACCCACCTCCCTCCACTTCCTTTTCCGTCGACAGGACTGTATTTATCGAAATTTACTCGCGACGTTTGTAGAAAATACGTAGGAACATCCGAATAAAAGTCATGATTTCTAAAATTAATGAAAGAACAAAAATGGATAAAATAATGAAGAAATGTAATCAATTCTTTCAATTCTATCCGTTAATTATTTTTAGCAATCCCTTATTTTAAAAATTAATTAAATGATCCGTTAATTAAAAAAACGATATGGGTCAAGCTAAACCCGGAAAATTGAACGAAATTAACGCGCTAATATATGTATATTATAATGTTGGAACTCACAACGATCTTTAAAATTAAACTTACTCCATTTCCAAGATAAGGAAAAGTGTTTAACATTTATGGCAGAACAGGATCGCAAATCCCAAGCCTGCGCATCGACCAATCACCAATATATCTAAGCTTTTTCCCATATGAGGGAATGGACGGTTGCTTGCGTTCTCGGTTAACGTTCTCTAGTCGAAACTTCCTCCGTTTCTCATGATATTTTTCTCTTACCCTTTCCCTTTATCGATCCTTCCCTACGTGTTTTTGCACATAATAGACGCACTTCGTCCCATCCGACATTCCGATCGCTTTGAAATTAAAAATATTTACGATACTTTGATTCCCTTCACTTTCGTTAATCAAACATTCTCTTTTTGAAGCATAAATCTAGAATATATATAATATTATATCAAAGATATATCTGAGAAATAGTAAAGAATAGAATGGCAAGTCCTAAAACATTGCACTACAAAAAGTCTTATTACAGTAATTGGAATTCTGATAGATTCAATCAGAAAGATATAAATCAGACTGCACTTATAATTAAATCTAGCAAACATTCTAATCAAGATAACCAGAAATTCCATTACGACAACTAGAATTCTGATTCATACGATCAGAATTTGTTTTGTTTGTACTAATTCTTATTAGTACAACCAAACGTTTCTCTCAGCAATGTGCAGCTTATCTATCTACTTATCTAGATAGTTATCTATCTATTTATCTATATTATTTTTCATTTAAATTTTGCAATTTTTTATAACCAGAATTCCAATTCGTATAATCAAAAATTCGTTTCGTTGATACTTCTTATTGGTACAACCAAAACATTTTCTTCGGCGTGTGTTGCATTTTTACCTGTTTTATTTATCTATTTATATCCGCAATACTTTCATCTTGCAATTTATGTTTTCTATCGCTTTTCAAAATTCAGCTTAATTCATACTCGTCTATCTGCTTTAAGATAGCCGCATTACTTTATAGAAACAAAAATGAATTTTAACGCATTTCATTATTCCGCAGGCAGTTGTCAGGGAATTGAACAGGCTGGGCATGTTGGTCGATCTCTCGCATGTCTCGACAAGAACGATGAGGGCGGCCCTGCAGACGACGAGGGCGCCGGTGATCTTCTCGCACAGCGCTGCCAGGGCGCTGTGTAATTCCACCAGAAACGTGCCGGACGACGTGCTCAGAAATCTGGTGAGTTCTCCGCGTCGCATAAACACGTATACCCCAAATGCAATCGGATTGCGCTTTAAAAACAGAGTGGAAAAGAAATACGGTAAACGGATCAGTTCAATTATTCCATCGTTGCTGATATTCCGCACTTTCCGCAGAAATAGGTAGCGAGCGAAACGGAACGCCACTGTCACGAGGAAAAAAGCGATACGTCGATTGCAATATGTACAGATGGATTTATTTATTTATTTATTCAGGTCTCTTGCTACCACGCGTGTCGGTCAGTTAGAAAACACTGCAGAGTATGAGCGCTCGTGTACAGAAAACGAATGAGATATTTCTTTGCTACACCGCGCTTACAAGAGACGGACAGAGAAAATCAAAGCGGGCACTCGCGAAAATGTAAACCAGCGCGTATGAAAGTTGCTGGCTACCGCAGCTACAGCCTTTGTTCAACCATACCGAGATTATTTGATTTTGGGTCAGCGTATATACATGTCACGGACCAACCAGGCTGTATTAAAGTTCAGTTTTGGTGTGGTTTAGTATTGGTGAGCGACAACTGCCCGGCGGAATTACGATGCGTGTAATATTTGAGAAGCAGTAATAAAATATCCGCAGCTACGCTGTAAACATGGCCATGAACATTATTGATTTTACGCGGCAATGCAAAACAGCCTCTCGTCAAAAATTTATTTTAATATTCTAATTAATTATTATACAACTTCGATGCGGAACTGCAATTAGAAAGGCAGCAATGTTGAAATAGGATTATCATGGAAAAACAGGTCCACAGAAAGAATGAGTTTGTTGAAGTTTTAAAAATTTAGATACACAGAAAAAAATGATTTTGTTGAAATATCTAAAAATTTAGTTGTAAGTCGTAGATGTGAAAATAATTTTGTTAGATCATCAAAATAGTTGTGTAGGACGTTAAAATTTGATGATATAATAAAAAATTTTGATATTTAAATAATTAATTTCAGCATCTTGCATAATTATTTGGATAATCCGAAAAAGTTATTTTCAAAAATTTACAGCTAAATTTTTACACTGAAAAAAATTATATTATATCAACAGCATTATTTTAATTTAAAAAAATTTTATTAATTACACAACACACACACACACAAAACACTATTAATGAAATAAGTACGTGCTCTTGTTTTGATAAAATTTTATTCCTTTATCAATACTATTATTAAATTAACAAGATTATTTTCAATTATGTTGTTGATATAATATCATTTTTTTTTCAATGTAGATACTTCAATAAAATCGTTTTTTTCATAGATACAGATCTGAAATAACTTTATTGAACCAATAAAATAATTATGTAGAAAATTTAAGCGTGATGAGCAATGCTACATAAAATATCATTCTAGTAATCAGCTTGAGCGTTCTACGTAATTATTTTAATAGTCCAATTATTTTGATAATCTATTATTTTCAGATCTGAATCTAGAATTTAGATACTTCAGTAAAATCATTCTTTCCGTATATGTAAAAAGATATAATAAAATATATCATAAAAATATGATAAAATTCAAATATAATATGAGTATGAATGATATGAGTATGATAGAATATGAATTCGAATATGTGTGATAGGATTCCAATATGGTAAAATTCGAGAAAAAATAAAGCACGTCGCGAAAATAAATAACTGCCGACAATCGGTTTTTATATATTGCGATCGTTCGAGTGCATGTAAAAGAAAATAAAAACGCGAAAGCAAAAAAGAAGGTGTGCGCACAGTGCTGGGTGATTAAACGCAAGTTTTATCGACAGATCTGATATCTGGAAGTGAGATGCGTAACGTCGAAATTAAATTCGTAGCGTACAAGCGAAGTGAGGCCAGCCGTGTGCAAATCGAACGCGATACGAGAGTAGTTTGCAATCCGCAAAGTTGTAAAACGTGCGCACCGATCGGATCGGTGGAAATGTGCAAGAACGTCGAGATCTGTAATATCAAACACAAAGTAACATCGAGAACGCGCAAATTGTTCGAGTTCATGTAACGAGATAATCGCAAACTATTCGTAATCGACGAAGGAGCGAGGACTCAGATATATATATCAAAACGATTTGGAGCAACGGAAACAACGCGCCAGAATAGCACGAGTTAGAAATTCAAAGCTTAATCCACGTTATTATCGATAATTTTGCCCACACCCACCATCGCCAATTGGCGTTAATCCAATCGCGGCATTAATCTCGTCCTTTGAACCGCAGCACCAAAATTTTTTCTCGCCCATTGAATTTGCGAGGAGCATAAACGCGGTACGATAATTGACGTTTCATTAATAGTTTCATTAACAGTTGGCCGAGGACCTAAACGTAACGCTTCATTAAAATTTCATCTCATTCTCGTACCGCATATCCGTAGATTAACAATTGACGAACCAACAATGATGAGCTCAAGGAGTTCTAAGTTAACGAAATTAAGTTCAATTTAATTAACTTTACATTTAGGGACTTTATTGAAGGAATGTAAATTTAATATTTCATTTTATACTCTAGTAGTATGTGGGTCATTTGATCCATACAAGAATGCAGTGTAATTCTTAAAGGAAAAATTCTAATATAATTATGTAAAGAATTAATAATGATATAATAAAAAAATTTATTATCCAGATAAAGAAACTTAAATTACAAATATATAAAATTATGAAAATTATATTATTTTAAATAATTATATTAAAATTATGAAAGATGTAAGTAGTAAAAGTAACAATAGCTGATAATGTATCAATATTTTATAATATTATAATTTATTTTGAAATTCGTAGATATGAAATACTGAGAGAAAAACGTTTATCTTTACTAACCTGGCACTGATTTCTATTTCAATATCTTGATATTAATTAATAATTTCTACCTAATAATATTTTATTCTTTGAAAAATTATTTTTAACGACTATCTCGTTTAATTTATTTAAAATATTTATTTATATAATGAGACAGCGCATTAATTGTAATTGGCATGGATTTCTCCGATTTTTCCGAGACGAGACGATACGAAAAAAAACAAATGACAATGATAATCGCGGAATTATTATTTTTAATGAGATGAGAAAGTTTCAAGACAATATTCCGAGATTTTCATATCGAAATGCATCACTAATTATATTGCTATAGTTTTGAAACATATTTTTAACTTGTAAAGTAGTGTACGCGAAGGATTGTTAACCTATCTTCGAAAAACAAGATGGTTACTGATTAATTAATCGAAATTTTCCTCGATGTCTTGAAGTCATCCTACTAACATCGCCATGTCCACGAACTTCATTCCCTTCTCTCTCTATGAGCGATCGATATTCCCTTAATTATACCCGCAGAACGAGAGGATGAGTAACAACGATCTAAGTCGGATGGCTTGTCCGGTAACGTGTTATTAACCGCGTTGTCCTGCTGCCCTAATTAACATTGCATAGAATAGCAAGGATGGGTATCAAATAGACAACTGCGTTCCTTGGAACAGTTTTCCCGATAGTTTCCGCGTTCACAGTTGATTGAAAAAAACTAATATAGTTAATGAAGAAATTAGTATTAATTAAATTATTTTATATTATTGTTTTATAATAGGTACCTATTATAATCTCTCTTGTATTGTAATTTTATTTTCATTATTAACTATTAATTTTTTGAAACGCTGATTTCTTTGATACAATGATATTATTTCATGTAAATCTTCAAATATATTTTTTTTAATAATAATAATCTGCTAGAATAAATTAAATTAATAAAATATTGTTTTTAATTTATTTTTATATCAAATTTTTTATATCATGGAATCCCGAAGAGAGGCCGTTTTAAATCCTGCATACATTGTAATGTATATCAAATTTGAAGGAATAAGAAATTATTCGTTGAAATTATTTCATTCTATCGACATCATTTAAGATCTGATATAGGTACATAATAATAATGTATACGTTGGAAAAATAGTCAAAACTTTGAAAAAAATTAATTGTAATTTAGTATGAACTTTATTAAAGTGCGCATAAATTGAATTTAAAAAAATGTTTTTAACATGATTCCAATAAAATTAGATTTGAAGGGATTAAACAATCAATCATTTTCTCGCGTATAAATTTCAGTAGTGGAATAATATATAATATATTATGATTTTATTGTACACAACTGCACGATGTAATTTCGTGTCATATGTTTAAAGATCGAAAGAAATACAATCGCACAGCGTGTATGACATTAATGTATCTGTTCACAGGCTAAGAATGGCGGAGTGGCGATGGTCCCTTTTTATACCTACTTCATAACATGCAACAGCACCGCTACTATAAAAGACGTTATTGGTACGTGCAACGCTATACGCGAAACTGTGCTAAGCCGAACCCCAGGAGTAAATTATACCGTATCAATATTACATGTGACAGACGCGTAATTACTGTACACGTTGTATTTTATGTCATTTTGACACATTTTCCGTTGTAAATTTAATTTTCGAAGCCATGCTCGTAAAAAGACGTAAAATTACAACAAAATAAATGCATCCATTATTTCTCGAATGAAGAACAAACGTGTATCTTAATATTGCAAGAATTTTGCAATTCATCTTGCTTAGCCATTTTTTAAGTGGGATATATATTTACTTTTACTTTAACACTCGCGCAAATATTTAAAAAGATCCGTTGCGTATGCGTGTTTCTGACAATAATAAAACATTTTACCTATGCATGACGATCTCATGAACACGTTATCTCATAACCGTGCTATTCCCCAATCACATTTTATTCCCACAGGCAAAAGCACATGCATTTATATTAAAATATTTCATATTAAAATATTTTGTGACGTGCTGGCACCAGGACAAAATGATTAAGGCCCAATATATTGTTTCAGCACACATCAATCATATTCGAAAGGTGGCGGGAATCGATCATGTTGGAATCGGAGCGGGTTTCGACGGGATAAATTTGTAATTATTTTTTCACAATATCTATTTTCGCGCGCAGAGGCACTCAGAGAAAACACACACGGCGCGTTGTAAAAATAATTTGATACAGTAACGCTTGTGATTAATTTCATCGAAAAGTACAAGCCATAATAAATCTGTAACTCGATGTAAATATGTATTTAACCTACAGAGAGTTCCACTTTTACGTTCGAGGATAATTGCTTCGCTTGTTTTCAGAAGCGCGTGAGTCCCGGGAGGTTAATTTGATGGAGGGGAGGTACAAGAAACAATGCCCAAGGAACTGCTTTTGTTCCGCAGTCATGAAACTTTCACAAAGTGCCTATCATGGTTCTTGTAATAATGTAAATGTGTGTGCATAGTAAAATATATCGTTGCTAACTTCTTTTTCCTTCGTCATAATAATTTTTTCAAAATTTATTTCGGTTTAATTATAGCTGTGATAAGAATAGACTGTACATTCCTATGAAGTTATCGCTATCGATTTAGAAAGAGTGAGATGACTTAAATCATATCACTTTCTTTCTAAAATATCGAGTTGAAGAAAGATGCTAATATGTTCAATTCTTTCTAACTGAGCACAGAAACTAAGATCATGGAATGCACAGTCTGTATCCATTACGTCCCTTTGACATTCAAAATATGATTTTTTTTTACATTGAATCAAGAATAAAATTAATTTATATATATATCGAATATCGTAAAATCACTAAAATATGTTATCCAAACACAAACGTAAATTTTTATAATTTTATGATTAAACTTATATGCTCGAATAAATACGTTTCACAATAAACTAGCTAATTGTATAAGTTATTTTCTATTTTCGAATTCAATACTTATTCATAATAACAATCAGACTGTTCAGACCTAATGTGAAATCACAAAAGCTTGCGTATCTATAATAATGCGTGGGACACACGTCAATTGCGAGTACAATACTGAAGCAGAAGTGAAAGTATTGAAGACCAGTTTTATGACACTAAATATACCAACTCAGATTGACTAAAAATATAATTCATATCGTTTTCAAAACAAACGAATCAATCGTTATTCAGTTTATTGTTATGATCTCTTTTAAAAAGCTCTTTTAAAAATGACGTAACGCATCGAGTGTTGCGAACTTATCGTCGTTCTCTGAGTGTTGCCTCGAATCAGCTAAGTTAAGAAGATCGTTTGACCCTTACGAGATTTGTACCTTTTGTAGTACTCCCACGGGTTTAGAGGATGTCTCGAGGTATCCGCAACTATTGGCCACCTTGTTAGAGGATCCTACATGGACGGAGGATGACATCAAGAAACTAGCCGGCCTCAACTTACTGAGGGTATTCGCAAAAGTCGAACAGGTATGGTGATGTTCGTTTCTAATCGATTACAGGGTGTCGTTTCTTTTACAATCATTGTAACAAAATTTATTTACGATGATTGTAAAAAAAAACGTTGCTAAAATAAAACATATACGATGGTGACTAGGTAATTCCAGATATCTGACTACGATTAATCGCGCGTGCTCGCTGAATATATTTATCAACGCTTTTAGACGGTTCTAAAAATTTTAACACTCTTTGTTACGCACGCGCTAAGTTAATTGAGTGCGTTGTAACTATGGCGTTGCTCCTGTTTTCATAAATTCATTGTTGGAATTATTTTCACGCTCGCAATAAAGATAACAGCTCTATGTGACATAAAAAATAAAAATAGCAGAAACAAACTTTTTCAAGCAAACCGAATAGTTAATAGGAAAAAAAAATAAAGACATTAATAAACAATGAAATATAATATTATAGTGACTAATAACACGAATATTTTTGCAGAAAAATTTATAACAGATGCTACATAATTTTCTTCCTATAAAAATTAGTCTTAATCAACTTTTTCCTGTATAAAGAACAATTTTATTAAAGTACCTAAAAATTTAGATAGATCCAGATTTGAAAAATTTTGTTGGACCATCAAAATAATTATACAAAAAAAAAAGATCAAGCAGAGCTGCAAAAAGTTTTGCATGGGTACATTAAAATAAAGTTAATAAAATCGATCCTCTCTCTCTCTCTCTCTCTCTCTCTCTCTCTTTCTCTGAATTAATTTTTAAATGATTGAAGTATAACTGACAGCGACGATATGAATGAACATTTTATGAACTTTGTTTCAATGTATTAATTTTTCCTTGAGTGTACCATTCATTATTATGATAATTTTTGATTTAGAAAAATAAGATGTAAAAATAAAACGATCTCCGAACGATTGCAAAAAAGTGAAAGTTATACTCTCTTTTTCTTAGACAAATTCGAATGTCCTGCACAATTATTTTGATAGTTTAACAAAATTATTTTTAGGTCTGTCTAAATTCTTAGATGCTTCAGCAAAACTGCTTGTGAAAAAAAAATCCAAAAATGGTATCAAACGCAGATCGATTTTGTTCTTCATTCCTTATCTTGCTGTAGTAAGCAATTATTATCTTTTCTGATAACAGGTTCGTGACGAGTGGCACAGAGCAGCCGTGTTACCTGTGGAGAAGATCAGTCCACCAGACAACTCGGCCTGCGTTTACGGCGCGTCCTGATCCTCTTTAAGAACAATTGTGCCGGGATTTCTCGACTTTGCACGATCGCCGAAGATCCTAAGGATGCCGCGGTATTACTGGAGCCTGTAAGGACGCGTGTCCCGAATCGCCAAAGGATTCGTACCGTAAGAAAGCTTCACGGATATCTCTAATGGAAACGACCGACCAATCTACACCGAAAGAACTGCCGACTTCTACTTCAGGGACTCCGTCGCGCCTTAACGAGAAACAAAGATTCAGCGCGGGAATGCGACCGGTCTTTCAAAATTAATGGCGTCGAGGATCCTTCGGAGACACTTTTGAGACGTGGCAAGCCCGTTCACCTGCGACTCCGTTTGAAAGATCTCAAGCGCCGTTAACGACAGTAAATTGCAATCGTATTTGAGAAATAATTATCCTCCTCTTACAAGCACCATTTATTTTTGCGATATCTGATGAATTAATAATCTCATAATGTTAAAGAAAGATTAATGACTGTTTTTAACTTAGTACTTCTTCCACGCTTGTAAATTATTGGATATAATTTTGCGATCATTTGTTAGGCATTTCCGTCCAGACTTCAAACTTGGCTTAATAACACTTATTTATTTATTTCGCAATTTGCATCACTCGCACGTTAAAGTGCATATTTTACGTACGCCATACCATATATTTTACCTTTAAATGAATAATAATAAACACAGAAAACTTGAAAGTTTAAAAGTTTGCATCTCGCTTCATAAACTGCAATTTTTAACTCATCTAGATAAATTCGCAAAAATATTTGTTATACACGTAGCTTATTTTAATTATTTTGTTAATCGCAAAAACGATCGAGAGAATTCGAAAAAATTGTGTCAAAAGAAACGGGAGGTCATATTCTCAACGTACATTTAGCATCAACTATGGTCGGCTGATTCTCATATCATGTGTGTCTTCAGTACATGCAAATACGATCTGTTAAATTAATGAACTTCAGAACTAGGCAGCCATATTTAGTATTAAATGTGCAAGAATATGGACAAATTGCATGTGACAATTGTACGTGATTAATCTTGTAAGATTTCTCGCGTTTAAAAAAAAAGCCGAAATAGTTCGAATGGAGTACACAAATATCATCTCAGGCGTGGCATTTATATCGTTCTTTATAGGTACTATGACCAGAGATCTGGAACGATCATAAATGGCATCACTGTCATACACCAAAGAGATAAGCCGTACTTTTTATAATTTTTAAATAAATTAATAATACTATATTAAAAATATCCTGTGCGTCCTAAGAAACATTTGAATTCAATCTCATACAGAGAATCATAAAAATAGATATTCATGTACTGTCTTTAAATTTTCGTCAACTTATTTTTATTCGAGCTTATATAATTAGATACAATATCGCCAAAAAAATCTTTTCTTCGAAACTTGCATTTTTTTCTTTTTGCATTGACTCACTATTAGTCATAAAAGCTTTTCTAAATTCTCTAAGAAATTGATATATATTCTATAAATTCTCTCTTTGAGCATTTTGCACTTAATCGTACCATAATAAAGAGAAAAATAGCTGAATAAAAGAGATCTTACCCTTTCTCTGATTTGTAACATTAAATACATGAATAAGCATTAAACAAAAGCTTTCAAAGTTCACTTAAGATTCACTTAAGATTAAATGTAGAGTAAGATTTCGTTACTTGTTTGTACTTTTAAAAGATAATATACGAAAGATCACTCATATCCAATCGCTTATATAATTGAGAAATTATTAATATTTCAATAGTTTTTAAGATGACTCCAAATTTGTCAATGAATTCGCCACCGATGGTGTTTGTCAGTGTAATTTTGAAACGCCCTATACATGAATATCGAATCAGACAAGTGCGCTTATGATGTGCGAATATAACGAAACCTCCAAAGAGAGAAGTTTGAGAATGCAAGAGATATTAAATTTCTAACGATTAATTAAAATCTTCGAAGGTAGCTCTCATGCGTCAATAATAAAAAAGAAAAAAAAACAAATCGTACGCTTTATGGCGAGTTTCTTAATTGATATAACAACGTAACGAAACGAAAATGTCCTGTTAATCGCGATTCCATCGATTCCATTTTAATCTTTCAAAATTTGCTTCTTTCTATAAATTTAAGTTTCCGGAACTGAAACGGTAGGCTTGTATTGAACTCACAATCAGTTATAAATCTCTTTGTCGAAAAAGTCAAACAATTCAATTCTCTTTATGTTACATCTGAAAATTTAGACTTATTCATGTTAAATAATATTTTAAGAAGAACTTAATATTCATTCCATTTTATACAAATTATGTCATTTTCGTTCCTTGAAATTAATTAATGCCTCTCTTAATTAACATGAATTAGATGGGTCTTGCAAACCAAGCATCATTATAATATTTTGGCCTCAGTTCCGGAAGGTTAACAATCTTGTCCAAATTCACACGCTATCGATAAAAGCACAACACTTCTAACTGAGATCGCATGCAAAGAATATCGACTATTCTTGAAATCTATTTTGACATGCTACTTGATTATGCTTAAGAGTGCGTATGTAATGTCACTCGTTGCCGATATTAAGTCACTACGATACTTATACTGGATTTTGCGAACACCTTAGGTATGAACCTATATAACATTGTTAGTTTCGAAAACGTAAGCAAAAATACAACAATGTTGAGTTGATAATTTAATTGAGAACAGGGTTGCCACAAATTCCTCGTCCTAAAATTCCATAACTCATCCTGATTTCCAAATTTCATAACTTTATCTGAATAATATTGAATCAGTATTTTTTTCGTCCTGACTTGGAAACCGTTAAATATTTTGTTGAAAGAGCAATTTAACATAGCAATGTACATTATTATTAATGTTGTTTATACTGCTTGCATTTAATTGTTAAATTAAATAATATTAATATTATTAATATTTTAAAAATACGTAGGTGTGATGTACAAACACTAAATTTCTTTAAAACTAAGAATTTTAATTTTCCATTTTTTCAAAAAATTTTAAAAAATTATTGGGTTTTTCCCTGATTTCCCCAATTTTTTTTAATTTCCCTTACTCTGAATCCAATTCTTTTGTGACAACCCTTGATAATTCAGCAAAAATTCTTTATAATGACTTACAACCGATAACATTTCTATATATCTGCATAGACAAGTTTCTCGGAGCGTAATAGATTGGCTATTACGCTATTTCGCACAATTTTGCGGGAGTTCCATCACTGTATTTGCTGCTCCAATTGCACAAACCGTCGTCCTGAATCGTCCTACAGCCATAAGTGCTTTGAGAACAAAACGTTGATTTAACAAATCACTTGCAACGCGTAACGCGACCTATACTCTTCGGAAGTTATTGCTAATATACAAGCCGTTCGTTTTGAAAATGGCGTATAACAGTTTTCAGAAGTAGAACTTGTAGAAGCAGATTGCACGAATTTATAGTCCAGAATTTAGAGTGCATCACAAACTTGGACTTACGCCACTTTCAAAATAACTGTACGACCAAAAACTCCTGGATGCGTCGCGGATAGTTTCGTGACTTTTCTCAGGGCTGTGATATTTTCCGCGGGCCTCGTAAAACATTTCGTGCTTCCATCTAAAAAAAAAAAAAAAAAAAACATCGGGGCATGTCGCAGAAGGGAGAAAATGTATCGAAGAAAGTCGCATTATTGCGAATCGAAGACGTGGGTACGTTACGCTCGACAATTCATTAAAACGATAAAACGATATAATAGTCGGTTTAGCTACACGACAGAATGCTCCTTGACAGAAAAAATAGGTACTTCGTAAGAGATATTTCAGAAATATATCAGAGAGAGAGAGAGAGAGAGAGAGAGAGAAAGCCCCGAGAAGACGAGAAGGTTTACCGAAACTTTTGGTATAAATATAATTTTTAATTTCGTATCTTGTGACAAATCACACATAGTCTTGTAAACGCTTTTATAGTTATTCAGAAAATTTATAATAAAGTAACAAACATTATCTACAGCTCAATCGACCGTCATACCGCTTTAATCGAACGAATCGCGAGACACAATCGCGAGAAGAGAAGTATGCGTATTGCGTCGAGATTTTCCGATTACGACTTTGTTAATATCGTATTAAATGATAGCAGTATTTGGAAGGATAGATAAAGCGAGGACGATAAGAAGCATAACGTAGTCTAGCGTGGACTGTACATCTACGAGGAAATTTTTCAATACGTACTGAACACTGTATTAACGCGAAAGCACATTCGCGTACACGCATTTTTGAGAACAATCGAGATGCCTTCGACGACTCGCGGCGCTGCTCCACGAGCTACGGGATTTTTGTCCGCACAAATTGTCAAAGAACTAGACTATTGACAAAGAACATGCTTTTTGCAATGCGAGAAAAAAAAACATGAGTTTAATAAACTTAGTCGTTAATTAAAAATATATCGTTGGCTGTATGTCCCCCGTGACAACATTCGAAACTCGATTCAGCAAGAAAAGCGAATTCCTTGTTTTCCCTCGAAATAAAGCTATCAGCATGCATTTATCCCGAGAGATCTAGCAAATACAATGAAAATTGTCAAAATACCAAAAAAAGAAGTTTACGATTAATTAATTGATAACCATATTAGAGAGTGAGGCGCAGCTCCCTTTTACATAAAATTTTAGCAGCAATAACGCAAGTAACCGCCAAATAGTCTACTCAGTCTACTGTTAAGTAGCATAAACGACCAATAGAAAAATACGTATATAATTTCTAATTCGAGTAAGTCTAACGAGTAATTACGGCACTTTGCTCAATACCACCGATTAGGACGTCAGGAAGACACACACATACCGTTCTTTCCGTAGTGTTTCCGTAATGTAAACCTTCGTAATTTTAACTACGTAATTTTAACTACGTTTAGATGAACAAACGCGCGGCCGCGTCACGATTATTCTTTATAAATAATTTATAGATCTTTCCTCCGCGCGAGGCAAATATTGCAAATGACGCCGAGGCAAATATTGCAAATCGACTCAAGAGTTGAGGGGAAATCATAGATAATTATTTTGAGTGTGTATGAGTGAGCAACACATGTGAGCGAGATGAGAAAGAAGATATATTGTCAAAAAAAAAAACCAGGAATAATTTCGAGCGTTTCGAGAAGGTGGACGCGAAAATCGTATCCGAAAAACGTCAATTATTTATGTATGTAGACAAAATGGAATTTATCGATACGCCCGTGCCTCGTATCGTTTGGACAATCTATAATTCTTACGTTTAATTTGTCTCGGAGTAACGTTTCATCTTACGTTCACGATCACGCCATTTTTTGCGATATGAAAAAATCCAATAAAAAAAAGATATGTATGCATAGATGAATGTAAACGTTCTTTTCTCGAACAGCTCGACCATTATTCTCCCGATAGATCAACGTGTTCATTTTGTAATATCTAACGAGTAGGGCGATCAACTACGTATGCGAAATAGAATTCATTTTTTCTAAGATGACGTAACTGAGGAAAAATCAGAGAGAAGGGCAAAAGGAAAAGATAATAGCGAGAAAAGGAAGAGATCTTAGTTGTATAAACCTTACCGTATATAAAACACACAACTGCCTAGAAACTCAGATTAATAAAAATATATATATTATACTTATTACATTATATACAATTAACTTAAAAAAAATTGACATGTCTAAGCGCACAACAACGAGCGAATTTGGTTGAACAAGAAACGTGTAAGTAGAATATATCCAACCGTGACTGAAGCGTACGTACATAGTGTACCAAAACCACCGGAACATATTTCAATAACAACTGTGATTGAATTACAAGTGAAAATTATAGAAAAGCTTCAAGGTAACAAACTGAGAATAAAATTATACACACAGAAAAATACTATACGCAAATAATAATTACTTACAAAAATTTCAAAAGTTTATATGTGCGCAAATATATCATAAGCATTAAATTTATTGAAAATATATTCTGTGAATCTTAAGTTTAATACTTCAAGATTATCAAGTTAAAACAAATACGATTTGCTTATATAAATTCGCTTCTTTAATTAATTTTATAGTATTTTTCAAAAGAAAATAAATTCCTTTTAATACATATTAATGAATTTTTCTAAAATTTATAATAAATATATTCAAAAATTATTATCAAGAAAATATTCTTTGTTAAAGATAACCGTTATTTAATAGGAAAAAAATTAATTAAGTAATTACTTTTCTTTGCAATAGAATATTTTTCTGTGTGTACTGTTTAAAATTCCGCCGGTTTTACTTT